TTAGCTTTTGGAGTTGTATGGCAGGTACCCGAACCTGCCAAGCAATTCCACTAAAACTTCGCAAATATGTCTGATCTATAATTGGACACACAACTGCCAAGTTTCATGAATTTGACTTTATTATTTTTCCAAATATTTAAAATTAGCTTTTGGAGTTGTATGGCAGGTACCGGAACCTGTCAAGTAATTCCACTAAAACTTCGCAGGTATATCTGATCTATAATTGGACACACAACTGCCAAGTTTCATGAATCTGACTTTATTATTTTTCTAAATATTTAAAATAATCTTTTGGACTTGTATGGGAGCCACTCGAACCTGTCAAGCAATTCCACCAAAACTTCAGAAATATCTTTGACCTATAATTGGACACACGACTGCCAAGTTTCATGAATCTGACTTTATTATTTTGCCGAATATAAAAAATTTGCTTTTGGAGTTGTATGGCAGCCACCCGAACCGGTGCAGCTATCTCATTAAAATTTTTTGAGCATATGTAGAATATAATTGGACACATGTATACAAAATTTTATATTTGTACCTTTTTTAGTTTTTGAAATAATTGAAATAAACTCTTTGAGTTGTATGGCAGCCACCCGAACCCGTTGTCCGAATTGGTCCAATAACAATAGGGTTCGTCCTTGGCACAAAAGAAGCAACTTGTGAAAGTTTGGTGTCTATTGCATTATTCGTTTTTGAGTTATCGTGCGATCGGACGGACGGACGGACGGACGGACGGACGGACATGTCTAAATCAACGCAGAATTTTACGCTGAGCAAGAATATATATATATGTCCATACCGCAGATGACTCCTTCAAGTAGTTACAAACTCCATACCAAAGTTAATATACCCTTCACGAAGTGCAGGGTATAATAATATGATAGGATTCGTCTTTAACTTTTTTCTAGTTTGTAGAAACTATAGAAAAACTCAGATTTTAAACGGACGGCTAGTCACCAATGTGAATGAGGCAAATTTAAAGAAAAAACTTCGATTTTGACAATAAATAAGAATTGAAATTTAAATGATCAATAATTATTTGTTTGCTAAAGTGGTTGTTTGCGATAGTGCCATACGAAAGTTAATATGTAAAAGCTAAAAGCTCTTTTAGCACAATTGTTGGTTGCAGGTTGATTACCGTCAAACGCAATCATTGGTGACATGCATAAACTATTATTTGTCATTTTAAACTATTAGAATTGATGTTTTAAGAGTTAAACTTAAAATTTTCCGTTATAAATAAAATTATATTTTATTTGGCAACTATTTTATTTGGCAACTATTTTATTTGGCAATTAAATTCAATCCTGAATAACTTCTTTTATTAATTTGAAATTTATAACTTTATGATCTGTGTATGTGTGTATATGTATAGCCATGCCATATGCATATTCAATAATATTCAATATTATTTATGTACAATATGTACACATTTACTTATGTATGTCAAATTGTTTCTATACATATATATGTATATTTACATTTATCATATTTTTTAAGTTGATTATTTTATTTTTTATTCTTGTTCTTCTTCTTCTTTTTGCAACGCGCGCAGTTATAAAATATGTACTGCAAAATTCACCTGAATTCATGAGAAAAGTAACTAAAAAATGAAAAAAGAGAAGAAAATAATATGAGAATAAATAGACGGGGAAAAAAGACGGCTAAACTGAGAATTCATTGAAATGCTTTTATTGTTGTTGTTGTTTATTTTACAGGGTTCTACTGAATTTTTACTTCATTTTTTTTTCAAAAATTTTTTCTTTTGTTTTTTGCATCGTTTCCTACCTTTTTTACTCATTTGTATTTAAATGTGTGTTTGTATATGTATCCAAAGTAAGGATTGTATAAGTATGTAAAAATATATGTGTATGCTAGAGCAGTTAATAAATTAGACCGGTTTGGTTTTTTTAGATTATAAATATGGTGTTGTTATTCCTTTTTTAGAGTTTTCGTTTTTCGGTTATGTTTTTGTCGCTTATTGCGGTTCTTTTGTTTTTTTTTCCTGATTTTTTTGTTGTTGTTGTTGTTATGTGTACTAGAAAACTTTGTTATGGTTATAACTAATATATGGGTATAACAGTATGATTTATTATAAATTTGTGTAGCAAATAAAATGCACTCCACATAATACATTGCAAAGGATTAATAACGTTTTATTAAAAAAAATAAGTGGTTCGCACAGTTTTTTTAGCAAAAATTGCGCTTTTATACGTTTGAAAAGATGTGCGATGTGTATGTATGTATGTATGTATACTTATACGACTTTCAGAAAGGTATTCGCCCATATTACGGTACATCGTATTTTCTTTTGTTTTCCTTTTTTCTCTTGCCAATTACATACATACATACATACGGTAGGGTATTCCTTTAAAATTAAAAGTCGTCCTTGTTTTCGAATGGAATCGATGCAATATGTTTAGAAAAAAAAATTTGGTATTCTGTTTTTTTCTTTTATTCTTTTTGTTTTTTAGTTTTGCTTTTTTTAATTTTTCTTATTGCTTTTTTTTATGTTGTTTTACTTGTTATTTTGTTATGTATGATCGGGTTACATAAACTTATATCAAATGTGAATTTCCTGGAATTAGGTTATGTTCGGAGTTTTTTTTATTTATTTAATTTTTTTTCATTATCTTTTCTTATTATTGTTATTGTTGTTATTCACATTCCTGTTAATAAAAAAAAAAACAAAAAATATCGTTAGAAATGATGAGGAGTTGTGAATGATGAGTGTTACTTGAAGACCTTCTATGAAAATTTAGATTGTGTAGGTACACATAATACGATGCATGCATTATACACACTTACACACATATCTAGATGTTATATGAATAAGTATACTATGCGCATAGTTTGTTTAGATATTTGTTATGCGCCTTTTTTAAAAAGGTGATTCCTCATCGTTTAGTTTTGTTTTCTGTTTTTTTTTTTTTTGGCTAATTTTTTTTTCGCTTAAATTCATTTCTAAAGAAACGTGTTATTTTTTATGTATAAAAATTTGATTTTAATCTTCGGCTCATTTTTTTTTGTCAATTTTTTTTTTTGGGTTCTTAAGAACGCAAGGACAATATTAAAATAGTGTTTTGTTAATTTTGAATGAATTTGATGAAAAATAAATATTAAAAACAAAAACATAAAATTGAGAAATAGAACAGGAAAACAAGAATATTTTGTTCTACTTTTACATATAAATTATATATCTATGTATGTATGCTATTTCTTTGATATAATTTCAAAATGTAGATAATTATACTTGTATAAAGAATTTTGGTTGACTATATAATACACGTATATACAGTATAATATGTAAAATATTCTTCCTGAAAATTTTTAAAGAACCTGTTTTCAAATGAACAGGATTTCTAATACATAATACATAATTATTATTAATTATTTACTTTCCCACATAATTATATATTTATAATATTATTGAAATGTACTTCATCTCACAAAAAATCTCGTATACATGCACAATTCCCATTATGTAAAATTAAATGATGTGTAAATTTTCATCTTTATATTTTTGTTCTTTATATTGTATGTTTTTTTTTTATTTTTCAAATATTAGAATAGATTATGTTAAATAGTTGTGCATTCACTACTGCTGAGTATAATTCACTTTTATTTTCAAAATATTAGAAAATTGTTGATTTTATTTTTAATTTAATATTAAGAAAATTAATATAAATTTAATTAATTTAATTATAATTTTAATTGTAATAATTTAAAAGTAAGTGAACTTGCAAAATATGAAATTGATTGACTTTAATTAATTGTACGGCATTTTCATTAAATCATTTAAATAATTATGATTAGTTTAAGATATTCTTAGAAAATTTTGAAAAAAAAAAATATAAAAGAAAAAAAATGAAAATATAATGTAAAGAAATGAGTTTTGTGTTATGCGACAAATTTTGTGCGATATGTTAAAAAAAAATCACATTTTTAAATTTTTGCTGAATCTGTTAAATTTCGCTAAAATCTATAAATTTTGGTAAAATTATTTATAACACAATTTATTTCTCATTTTAATTTCGGTCTTAAAAATTTTATACTCCAAATATTATTATAGTAAATTGCAATCGTGGCAATGCAATGCTTATTAATCTGAATTACAAATAGATTGGTAATATAATATAAAATAAGTTCTATATAATTATAATAAATAATATAAATAAGTTCTATATTTATAGAAAATATAAATATAGAACTTATTTAACCAGTAATCTTAAAATCTTAAAATATATAAAAAAAAAAATTTAAATACGTTAATAAAATTATCGAAAGCATATGAATCTAGCGAAATTTTTAAAAATCGATTTACAACAGATTTTGTTACTCTAAAATTAATTTTAAAATCCAAAATTTGCTGCAAAATGAAAATACTACGAAAATTAAAGGAACACGTATAAGAATAAGAAAAGAAGCTTTGAATAAGAAAATTTCATAATGTAAATTTTTGGTATGTGACACACAGTGAATTTTCGATATTTTGTTATTACCCGAATGTGTCAAATAGTTCAGTCAGAAGTCTGATAAACACTGTAAAACTAATTTTATAAAAAATTACAATTCCCTTTGACATTTTTTTTTTACTTTGATTTCTAAATTATTTTCGGAGTTGGCCCTTTTTTCATATTTTATTAAAAAATCAAAATAAAAAAATTATTTATTAATTATTTTATGCAAGTCAAACTTAAATAAATTTTTTGGAAAGAAAAGTAATTTTTTTTTTTAAATTTTTTGTGCAAACTCTTCAAACTAAAGTTTTTCTTCATTTTTTCAGATTTGAACTAACTAAAACAATAAAAAACGGAAAACAAAGAAAAATTTTTAAGGATTTTGGATTGGATTTCAACAAATTTTTCGGATATCAATTTACAAAAATTTAAGAAAAGAAAAAAAATTTTCAATTTCGGCCATACAAAATTTTCCCTTCAATAAAAATTTTCAAAATTTTAACTTTTTCGAATTTCAAAAGAAACACAAAGAAAAAATAACATTTAGGCTTAAACAAAAATTAAAAAAAAAATAATTTATTCCATTCAAAATTTGGCTAAAAAGGAAACCAAGAAAAATAAAATTCAAAATGGATCCGCAACAACAATTTTGTTTAAAATGGAACAGTTATTCCTCAAATTTGGCAATGACATTTTCAAATTTATTTAAATCTGACCTGTTAGCTGATGTAACATTATCTTGTAATGGTAAGTAATTAAAGCATTTTTTATATGTATGTTTGTAATTATGAAATTTTTTTTATCTATGATTTAACAGATAATCATTTTAATAATATTAGAAAATAATTTCGATTAGACGGATTTTTTTAATTTTTATAAATCTCTTTTCATTACTATTTTCGGAATTTGCATTAATTCACAATAATTATAATTTTGCTCAATTTAATCAAAATTGCGGAGTTGCAATAGAATGTTCTTGCAATTTCGATTTCTTTTTTTTGCAATTGTGAATTTGCAAAAATATGCATTATACCTTTACATCAACTGTCAGGGCATTTTGAAACAGAAGGTTACAAGTACGTTTGTTAGAAATCATCAAATAAAAATTATACGATTTTGTCAAAATCGAAAAAAAAATTAAATTTCAATTTAATTTGGGATAAAATGTATGCTCTTTGTTTTTAAACACATTGTATTATTTTACATTTGTAAACTTAAAAATCTTGATGCATTGAATTATTTAATTAAATTGCTTACTTTAATAAGAAAATTTTTTGTTTCCATTTATTTTAATTTAAAAATTTCGACTTATACAACTGAAATAAGGATTTAAAAAAACATATGAGTCGAAAAATTTTTGGATAAACAAATTGACAAATATTTCAGTGTTAACAACGTCACAGACACAATATTAAATAAATTTTGAACATAACATATCGCCAAATTTTTTTGTTGATATTTCAGAAGACGAAACAATGTTTCCTATGCATCGTAGATGCAATTCCAAAGATACCCGTTATTATAAATGCAATTTATATCTTATTCACCCTGTAAAATGAATAACAAGTCTTCTTAATTTGAAATTTGAATGCAAATCGACAACTTTCACTTTGCTATTTCTTAAAATAATCTAAAAAAATTCCATCTGAAAACATGTTAATATAGTTTGATTTTCTATGACATGCTAATCCTCTATGTATATGTAAATGAGGTATTATTAAGTACTTATACGAGTTGAAAATTGTTCAGTTAACAGAAGTCATTTTTGAAAAACCTTGAAAAGTATTCCATTATTAAAAATTTTCTGAAAATAAAATTGAAATAGAGAAATTAAAAATATAAATATTTTATTAGATTTCCGTTTTGATATTTTATTATTTCCTATATTTCTTATATAATTAAAATAAATTAAAAATCAAAATGTCTAAAGTTTTAAACTTTAACAATTTTCAATTATAATTCACTACGTACTAAATTACTCAACCATTTACACTTTTTTAATACAATTTTTGTTGTAAAAAATTGTTTTGCGTTTTCAAACCCCTTTTAGAAAATCAATATTTTTTAATAATTTCTTTAATATGCTCAAATAAAAGTTATTCCATTTCCACTTTGAAATAAAATTCAGAAATTCTTATAATTATGAAAAATTAATAACAAAAGATAAAAATTTCAGAAAAATTTTATAATATCACATGGAACCCTGACTTGTTTGTAATGAAATTTATTTAATAACTTAATTATTATGAAAAGAGGTTATTAGCCTCTTACATTGTGTGCAAGCACTGTTAATAAAAGTTCGATTTTAATTACATATTTTTAAAAATCCAAAATGGCGATTCGAAATAGAATTTCCCTTTAAAAATAAAACTTTTTTTGTTTTTGAATTAAACCAAATTGATTGAAAAGTAAAAAGCCGTCATTCAAAACTAAAAGCAATTTTAATTTCTTCAGTAACTTTTCCTTTGGCCATTACAGTTATTATTGATATTTACATATAAGAACAAAATAATAATAAGGGCAAATAAACTCAAAAAGGACTACAAAATGACAAAATATTCAAAAAATAAAAACAAAGAGTAAAGCAATTATAAAAAAAAAAAAAACAAAATTTGTGTGCTATTTCAAATTTTAAAAAATTATTTTTCATTTTTTCCGATATACAAAAATATTTTTTGTGTTTTTTCACGTTAGAAAAAAAAAGAACAAATAATAACAACTGGAATTTATAGCTACGATATGTCCGCCGCAGTTGAAACGTAATACAATCGCCCTTCTTTCTTTTGCTATAAGGAAATTTTTAGTTAAGTGGCATGAATAACATAACAATGAATAGCATAACAATGAAATTAATGTCAAGTCTGAACGAATTGGCAGTATATCAAAAAATAATTTGTCGTTGTATGCCTCTAGTTGATGAAATTTTCAAGCCAAATTACTTCTGTGCCGGAGTTCTAGGTTTTTTTCATTTCAAATAAAAAAAGTAAGCACTACACAAAAGTATGGTTATCAAACTCATTAAATCAGTTGTCACAGGTTCGGAGTTACAGGGGCTTGAAGTCAATTTCGACTGCCTTTTTTACTTTTTGAAATTTTAAGTATAACGCCGCGACTTTAAGAAATCCGCGGCGAAATTTACCTGTTGAAGCTATGAACATAGTCTCCATATAAAAGTGTTCTCTAGTGAGACACCCTGTACATAACCATACATATACATTAATTAGAGAGCTTTAAAAGCAAGTTATAGAAGGGAAATGTTGAAATTTTTCTTTTACAGTATAAACCTTCACTCAAATTAATAAAAACTAGGCATTTTTGTGATAAATTATTAAAATAAAAATATTTCATATACAATACACAGCAATACGTAAAAATTATAAGGGAATGGTATACAATTTTCCTTCCTAAAGCTATAAAGAAAGAATAAAACAAAAAAAATGAAAACCAGCTATCGTAAAAAAATTAAAATTACAATAAGAAATAAACAACAACATCAAGATATAAACAAAATGAAAAAAAAACAAAGGTCCCTTTCCAAAAGGGATGCACATAAACAATTTACATGTTATTTTTATTTTTCCTTACTTTTTCTACTATTCTCAGAAACATACGTACACGTATGTTACGTGTTTTCATATGTTCATATATTTTCATAACTGTTATAGAGAATCTTGTCCAATCCGTGTAAATAAATAGCTTGAATATGGTCTGATATGGTTCCTCTTTTTACTTCCTATTCTTATATTATGCACATACAAATTTTTTTAAAGAATTTGTTCCAAAGGTTTTTACTCTCTATTTATAGAGTTTTTAGATATTTTTATGTATTAGCCAAAAATATTATAAAATATTTTGAATTGAAAACTCTATTCGAATATTCTTTATGTTTTTTTATACACAAAAAAATAAATATATATGTAGATAGATAAACATTTAGTAATCTAGCCTAAAAATACAAACGAAAAACAAACACAACAGAAAAAAAAACACAAAAACACCACTACTATGCCACCCTTTTAGAAGCTATCTAACTAGTCATGCAAAAACCCTTTCGTTACTTTTCGTCCTGTCGTTTTTTTTTTTTCTTATTTTAGTTTTTCTAGATGACGGATTAAAAGCAAATGTATGTAAGGGAATCAAAAAAAGAAATTTTCGAATTCAATTCCAAAATAAAAAATATTCTTTAAACTTTTTTTAAAATGCGCCGCGCTAGCCTATATGCTGCTCTACTTGTCCCAAAAATCATGAATGTTCTAAAACTTTTCGTATTTCTGCTTTCTTTTATTGAAATTATTCAGAATATCTTTTATATGTACGCCTATGTGTGTGTCTGTGTTATGTGACAAGTTTCTATGGAATGACTATTGTAAAATATTAAAAGAAATTTTTAATATCACATTGACATTAAAAATTTAAAAATATATATTTACATTTATGTGTATATATGTGTGTAGCCTTATAAATACAATAGAAATAAATATGTTGCCGCCAATTAATGTGCAGTAAATTTTTGAAAGTAGTGAAAAATCCTTTTTTATATTTTATTTGACCCAAGAATTACTCAAAGAAATTTTTTGAAAAATTAAGCAAATTTACATCGAATTTTCATTAAAGGGTGCGCTAACTTTAAAAAGCCTTAAATTGAAAAAATTTAATTAATAATTAATTATTTAGAAATCTTGCTTCCTACTTTTGCTGCATTCTATTTCTTGAATTCTATGTAGTTAAGCAATATTTAGCAAAATTTACATAAAGTATTAAAATCAATAAATTACAACAGTCAGTCACTATCAGAGCTTTAATCCCTAACACCATCCCAACATTAAACATTCGTTAACATTTCTGTAACATTTTTATAGATTTCTTTATCTCGTTTTTATTCTGATATCAAAATTTTTAAACTTCAATGCAAGATTCAACTATAATTGAGAATTTTATATAGAATTCAAAGGAAAGCAATATTTGATTCGCATATTTTGCCAGGAATAAAATCCTATTTTACGGTATGATACAAATACACATAAGCTACTTTCATTTTTTTTTATACTTATTTTACAATATAAAAACAACATATGGCGCGACAACACTTCGTATAGAAAATCTAATCTATTAAAAATAAAAAAAGTTCCTATAAATGAAATAGTAATTTTTGTTCTACGTTTTCTTTTATTATCCTGTCAAAGGTATGTATGTATGTATGTATGTATATGTACGTGCATATTTATTAAAAATTTTAAATTTTTTCTTTTCTTAAGCCTTATAGGCAAACGTTGAATATCTTATGACTATTAAAATGACTATACCGAAACCGAGAAATATTTAATTAAAGACATTATCAAATGCACTTGGACAATCACAATTTACTTTTTAAAATTGTGGAGAGTATTAAGAGAAAACGAGAGTACAGGAGAACAGAATTCATCATCAAATTGCATACGTAAATTCTACATGAGTGCTTCCGAATATATTTTCAATATTACCGAAAAAAACATATTGATTTCATACAAAGTTTATTGATGTTGAACGAATATTGCGAAAATCCATTAATATTCAAAACTATATTTCCGAATAGTAATTTGGCAGTTCTCGCAATTAAATGTGCCAGTATTTCATGTAGAATTCCTAAAAGTATGCAAATATTTTAATGTCTTTAATTATCATAACACAAATATTTTTATATGAAAACCAACTCATTTTAGCAAAACTACTACGATTTCTTAATTCTCCAAGAAACCTTCTAACCCTAA